AAAAAATGTAAATATTTAGCATTTTTTGAAGGAATACATTTTGTTTGCCGTCTTTCATGCCAAAGGTTTAAATAATAAACAGTAAATAAACAGTCTGTTTAATGTGCATGACTCAGTTTCAACCACACAAAATTTGAGCTCTATGAGCTTTAGAGTTTTAAACGTCTTTGTGTTTGCTAAACTCAATTAACTGTGGTGGCCATCTTTAGCTTGGTTGACTCCAAAAGTTAATCAGTTGTAAGTCCAGTGATTTCTGTTGATTTTCACTTGTTCATGAACACATGTGAACGCACGTGGGCATAAAACATTATCACCAAGAGTTATTGTGTGAAATCAATCAAGTATTCACAAAATTAGGAGTTTTTCGGCACCCATCTCCTTCAGGACATTCCAACTATGAGTTTTGGTATTTCAGCTATTTATTATTATTATTATTATTATTTTTAGCTATTTCACTTTTTTGGCCACATATTTCCAACTGAAAATTAATGGAACCGTTTTTAACATCTTCAAAAGGTTTATAAATCTTTACTGCACATTACACATTGTGTTTTGCTCTGATTCAACTCCCTTATATCAGCTTCTTTTTTTTTAGATATTTACCTTTTTCAACCATTTTCTTTTGTTATAGAAAATGAATGAAGCTGTCTTCAAAAGGTTTATAAATCGTTACTGCACATTACACATTGTGTTTTGCTCTGATTCAACTCCCTAATATTAGCTTCTTTTTTTGCTAATTTTAACCTTTTTCTGCTGTTTTAGCAAAAAAATTCTACTCTTTCTTCTATTCTTCTGCTAATTTATACTTTTTACGCATCTTTCAGCTTGTTATTGCTAATTTAAGCTTTTTATTATCTTCATTAAGTTGTTTTCTGCTAATTTCAGCTTTTTACAGCTAAAGTTAGTATTTTCAAACAAAATTTACATTTTGGTGGTCATTTTAGCTTCTTTTYGCAAACATGCTCTTTCTGCTTCTTTGTGCCAATTGCAGCACTTTAGTTACATTTTAGCTGTTTTACTGCACAKTTTGGCTGTTAGCTGATAATTTGACATTTTCCCACCACTATCACCGTTTGTGCAATGCATTCAACAAGTTTCTACTATCTTTAGCTTGTTTTTCTGAAAATTTTAGCTTTATTCTACTATTTTAGCTAAATTTAGCCTCATTTCTGCTTTTTTTTCTACTTTTTTGTACTTCTTTCTGCTTCTTACTGCTAATTTAAGCTTTATTTCTTTTAGTTGCAATGTGCCAATTTTAACTGCTTTTTGCATCTTTAGGCACTGTGCAGCTGTTTGTTGCTAAATTTAGATTTTTGAAGCTAAATATCAAATTTGGTGGCCTATGTTTTTCATCTTCTCAAATTGCAATAAGTCTTTTGCCATTAAACATATTCAGCTCCATTTCAGCAGCTTTCAGCTGAAGTTTTCAGCAAAAAGCACTCACACTGTTAAACTTGGTGATATAAATAAACACAGAGGGAAAACCTTTGGTCTTCTGTTATATTYGTCTTCAACACTATCAGTTGCTGAGGCCTAGACTAAAAGTATTTTAGGAGAAGAACTTGCAGAGATTAATCCAGTTTAACGATGAAAAGACAGCAGAGAGTCCCAGGACGATGGTTTATAAACAGTGGTGAAATCTGAGGCTTCATTATCAGATCTGTTGTTCACAGAGACAGCTGATTCCACAGCGGCTCGCTTTAACGCCAGATAAAATGTCACAATCACGTTGGATCTTATCCTCAGCTGGCACGGGGTCGGACCCCGTCCATCCTCTACTCGTATCTGAGGGGCGGCTGAGGAGAGGGCTGTTCTCACCTCCAGCAGGACCGCCGTGCCCACCGGACCCAACCCGCTGACAGCCTCAGCTGCCCACGGATCAAGGAGCTCTGGTGTATTGATAGCTCTGACTCAGACGCTGTCTCAGATCCACGTCGTATCAGGGTCAGCCGGATCCTCGGTAAGAACAGAACCCGGTTTACAGCGGATTCCTCGGGGGGCCAGATGTGAGGGGCGCCATCGACACACCTGACAAAGATACCTGCTGGTGTGTCCCTGCCTCAGAGCTGWCCACCTCTCCTGGCCTTTTCTGCATGACTGAAAGCTACCTCTGAGAGTTCCTCCTGACCGCTGAAATGTAACACCCCCCCTCCAGCCGACCCRGCAGGGCGGGCTGCGCACAGACATTTGTTTTAGAAACTGAAGAATGTAATCATTGTCTGTTTGCAGCCATCCTGAACAGACAGCTATAAAAGCCTCTTTTGTCCCAGCCTCTCCTCAGCTGTCCAAGTGCAGACAGAMGTTCTCCTGCGCCGCACGGCCGAGACCCTGCTGGAGTTCCAGGACAGGTAGAGGGAGGAGGGAGACATGAGGACAGAGTGGTGAGGGGAGGATGTTAGCAGGACATCAGGGGAGTTGGAGATGGAGACAGATGTATTCATTCACTTCTCTAGAAGTAAGACCCTGTCCACACAGGAAGAGAGGGTTTTTCTCTATAATTTGCGCCAGAGTGAGAAAATTATTAAATGTTRTTGCATTTTTGTGTGAAGAGCCTAAAAACAACTACTTTAAAATAATATTATAGACCACATGTGTCAAACTGAAGGCCCGCGTACCACATGACTTCCGTATGGCTCATTGATGAGGCCCCGCCCCCTTCCTCCCAAAATTTTATATACATTTCTTTTTTTAAACTTGTTTTATTACAAAAATAGGTTGTATATCGATTGTAAACTTTAATTCAATGCAACAAAATAAACTAATTTAAAAGGTGAAAGATAACAATGCTTGTCCGTCCCCTAAGCTATTGACTTTAAACAACTGTGGCCCCCTGAGMAATTTAGTTCAACAGCCCTGGATTAATGTCTCAACATAAACTGCTTTAAAGCCAGAATTGAGCATAAACTGAATCTCCCATAATGCATGCCAATATTGCATGGAAATTCCCAGTTGGAAAGTGGGAGAGTTCAGAATTCAAGATGGCAGCTACTCACTACAACTCAGTGAGTAAAACTCTTACTTTTACTTTTAGTAGTAGGATCTATTTCACATTTAGTCTGTCATACTTGTAGTACTTTGTATTGTTTCTAAGAAGACGTGTTCAAACTCTGTTTCTATACAGGAAATACCAGGTAGAGTTCAGTTATTGTTTGTTAGCGGTGCTCAGCCGTGGCAACGAGACGAAGAACATGACGTTTCCTGTTTCGTCAAAGTTAAACATGAAATGTTGACATTCATTATAATCGGTCCTTTGAGGGCCACACTAACACTCATGTGGCCCTCGGTGAAAATGAGTTTGACACCCCTATAATAGCCTGGTAAAATCCAGACCCTTGTCCTTCACTTTGCTTCGTACAGAGGGTCTGGACTCGCTGCTATAGAGAAGTGATTCTTGCTGGAGGCGTGGCCTCTGCTGAAGTGTGTGTCGCTGTGAAGGAGGCTAAGCTAAGAAGCTAACCGGAAATCGCGAGCGCTGTAAACAACCCTACTGAGAGGAGAAAAGTACCGAGCCGAACGAGACGACTGTAAATGAGAGCTGCTGCTTTGTCAGACAAATTTAATTTAATTTGAAAGCCTTATCAACACGGACTGGCTTCATTCACTTCCTCCACTGCCGTATGCTAAACTAACTAGCAGACACTGTGCAGAAAATCAACGTCGTTCAAAACTCCGCCTTCTGTTTGCTGATTGGCCCAGGTAAAATAAACTACAATCAGACACTGAGCAGAAAATCAACATTCTGTTCTCTGATTGGTTCGGCTAAAAATCTGCCCGCAAAATCCTTGTCCATGGGAGAAATCCCAGACGGAGCAGTGAAGGGAAACTAGAATTGAGCGGAGCTGCGTAGGAAGGCAAGGGCCAGGCTACCCCTATAATAACCTTTGACCCCTGAAAGTGACTGATGACACAACAGGTAAGATGCTCACATTTATAACAGCTGTTCAAATATGACTACTGCTATTTGCCAGACAAAAAAGGCTAAAGATAAGCTCAGCTGTTGTAAATGGTTTCTTACCGGAGCTGCTTGGCACATACAGAACATTGGTTTGAGCACAGAAGAAGCAAAATTTCCCTGAAGCTAGACGCAGACAAAACACTGACCAGAAAGCATCCCCACAGCCTGCACCGCAGATATAAATACACGAGGGAGTGAGAAGGAAGTGTTTACCATGCTGCCTTTACTGCTAACACAGCCAGCCCTGTACGAGGCAGAGCAGTGGGCGGCAGAACAAATGAATACGCTGAACTTTTCACATAACAGGTTGGCGACCCCCCCACGTACACGTCATACATGTATGTCTCATCCATCCACCTCCCCCACCTCCCACACGTCTTCCACGGTAAAGAGACAGCCAGACGTCTATATTCTCCCCACTTTCTGTCTTCTTCCACATTTTTTCTCATTTTGGGAAAAAAAAAGTAAAAACTGAAGCCAAAGCTTTAGTTATGCTCCACTTATAGACTATGAAGCTGGAGTTTTCACAGAGAAAGCAGTGAGCCTAACACACACGCACACACACASGGTGTTAAAATAAGATCAAAAGAAATCACAAGTGTCTGCGCACACACATTCACACACACACACACACACGTACAAAATGACAATGGGCATACAGTAGCTCCGGCAAGTAAAGGATCAAAGACACGAGCTTTTAATTCCAGTCACAGAGGCGAGGTAAGCATCACAGTCCGCCGCCGCTGCCGCAGTTTGGAACAAAGTAATAAGGGTCCCATCTGTGGATGCTGATGCTGACGTGACGGCAGCAGGGGTGAGAAGAGAAACCCAGCTCTAATAAAGATTATATCCTCAACCTGAGGTCAAGCTTTCCTCACAGATCTGAAAGATGTGGGCTGGCAGAGGAAGACGGTGTTATAAAGAGCAACAGGGTGGCAGAATTATATCTTTATGCCACACAGTGATAAAAAAACTGACCTTTATTTCATAATCCCAGAGCTCATAATATAAATAGGTCAGCTGGGAGATTTTTTTATTCAATGACTATAATATTTTTCACCAAAAGGTGAAGGCAAATAATGTTTTTGCCCGTGTGTGGGTATGTGGGTCTATCTGTTAGCAAAATATTTCAAGACTGGACGGATTTTAATGAAACTTGCAGAAAGTAGCTGATTAACTTTTAGAATCATCCCAAATTGAAAAAGAGGCTGCTGTAGCAAACAGACCTAATTTTGCAAGATCTTTGTTTAAAATGGTCACGTAACTCACATGTCAAACGTTCGGCCCATTAATGAGGCCCCGCCCCCTGCCTCCTCCCCTGTAAACTGCTTCATCTAAGATAAAATAGATTTTATATGAAAAGTAAACTTCAAATGATTCAATGCAACGAAATAAACAAATTCAAAAAGGGGAAAGATAACACTTGTCCTAGACTTCAGCTGTTGGCTTTGAGTAACTGTGGCCCCCCTGTGAAATTTAGCTGAGTAGCTCTGTTGTGTTTCTAAATAAACAGTTTTAAAGTGCCTGTGACATGCATATCCTTCAAATACAAAAATTCAAAGACAACATCTTTATATTTTAAAAAAATGGCACAATGCACATGATTTTACCTATTTTGTCACATAATTCCTTTTGAGCTTGGTTTAGCCAAAGTAAAACAGGAAGTGACATCAAAGGGGAACTCTAAGAAAAGGAGCTTACTGGTCTTTATTTATTGAAACTACATTGTATGACCTCTTGACTCTTCATCTCTCTGATAGTAACTCAAAATATTCTAACATCAGATTCTTATCTACTAGCCATTGCAGCAACGGTCTGTTTACACGTAGACATTCCCCTTTGACATCACTTCCTGTTACTTCACATGCAAATATCTCAACAACTGTTCATCTCAGTGGTGGGATTTATTTTGCAATATATTAATAATGTTATCTTTCCAAAAATGTATTCATATTGATTACAAAAAATTTGATGTCACAGACACTTTAAAGCCAGCACTGGTCATAATGCATCCAATTATTCTACCTGCAAAATGACGGCATCCCACCACTAGGTGGAGCTGCACAGGGTTCAAAAGTAGCTGCTAGTTGACGAAATTCACCTACATTTAGCTACATTTTCTCCAGCACAGTTGTACCGGGAAGTAGGAATTTCCTATTTACAAGTGGTAAATTTAAACTGGAACACCCCTCCAGTGTGAATTCCCTGTYGGGAAGTGGGAGAATTTAGGATTTAAGACAGCAGCTACTCACCACAACTCAGCGAGTAAAACTCCCTTACTTTTAAAAGTATTTCTGTAATACACAGCCTGGACAAAATAAATAAATAAAATCACCAGGTCATTCAGTATATTCAGGTAGTCAGCTGACCTCATTCTTTGAGCACAGACTGTTGCTAAACCTAGACCTGACCACCCCACATCATAGATAGTTAAATCCAGGTGGTCACATTGTTTTTGGCCAGGCAGTGGATCTATTTCACATTTAGTCAGTCGCACATAGTACTTGAAAATGAGTTTGACACCCCTGATGTAAGTGACAYATTTCAGGATCCAGAACTCACCGCGTTGAAGTTAGGGAAGAGGCTGAGGGGGGAGGAGCCATTGAGTCTGAAGGGCAGGAGGTGTTTGAGGTTGAGCTGAGGCTGCAGAGGTCTTCCTGGGACTGGGAGAGAGGCGAGGAGGGGGCTGCCCTGGGCAGATGTTCCTGGACCACACAGAAATAGATTTAAAAGTTAACATTGGAAATAAATAACACACGGGACATTTTTGCCTCATAGGATTGGAACGGCTCAGAGGACGCCAGACGCTCTGTGACAAATTCAGCTGACACCCTGACGTATACAACACAGATCAATCTAAATGTGTTAAAAAATGTTGTTTTCTTTGACCCCTAACATGCATTAAAGCACACTTGTATCCTACAAAAACCCACACCTGCCCCTCATGTACACACACACACATGCACATAAACACATCATTTAATTAGTGATTTATTGGCCAAGGAAAGGTGGCTGCATGAGTGGAAGACGAGAGATATCGGATTTCAAATGGACCAGGGATGAAGAGATTTCTAATTTTCTGCCTGGCTGCCTTTCGGTGGAGTGGTGCGCTCAGCTGTGCGCAGGCATTTATTCCGGCACCAGGATCAATCATAGGTGTCAGCTGCGGGTCACCGTGGCCACCCTGGAGCACGCTGATCGTTAGGCCTTCACAGCAACACAGGAGATGCTGTTGCACTTTTGTGTGGAACGATAAACACGACATAAATAAAGCAACGAAGAAGCTCACAAAAACTTTTTTTTACAATAAAACCACAAAGTCACAGGGTTATTTTATGTTTCATTCCTCTTTAATAACATTATCTAGTAAAAGTCATTACTGAAGCAAATACTGAAATATAATCTTGTTATGATGACAAAAAATATACAGAGCTAAAACGTTTGCTTCCTGTTTCATTAAGCTACATTTTTTTTATGTTTATACAACATTATCTTTTATAGTTTTATAGAAAAGACCACCAGGCTGAAGTTTGGAACTTCAAACAAAACAAAAGGAAGTATGTGCGTTTCCAGCTCTTGGTTTGGAGCAAACCAACCAGACGTTGACTTTACGCAGGCTGTAATAAACAGAGACCAAACATCAATGAAGAGACATTTTCAAGAATGTGTTGCCATCGGGCAGGGTGTAATTGTTCCGTCATATCAACAAGTACTGGCGATGTTACATGCTGTCCAGAGACGCAGAGAAAGAAAAGCAATTCTCCTGGGAATATGGAGGAAGACGCTAACAGCGGGAACAGCTGATCAATCATGCGAGGTAAGTGTTCGATACGTCAGAACTTATCCAGCAGTTTCCTTCTCCCCTTTAGCACAGAAACTCTTTTTCAGAAACTCCAAAAACCACCTGAAGTGAAAAATGTTTTGTGTGAAATTGAGGACATTTTTTCAAATTTTGCCATTTCCATCAACGTAATTGTGCTTTAAAATGCACATAAAACACTGATGGAAACACGGCTAATGTCAAATATTAAATACATTTGGCTGCAGCTACAGTCCCAGACCTTCTTTGGTTGGTTTTGTTTATGTTTCCTGCAAAATCCTTTTAAATCTGAGAGATTTGTTATCTGTCTCTTATGAACCGCTCGGATGAAATCGAGTCATAAAATCTCGTTTGTTGAAAGGTCAGAGTACCAGAAAACCTTCATGTTTCGATCTACTGTAGATGATCAGGTGTCTTTTCTGTTTGATAGCTGTTTTGTGTCGTTCCCCCTGACTGCATTAACTCTTTTATCAGAGGAAACTTCTCCACGGCTCACATTTGTAGAAATGTTCATTCACTTTCCCACCATACAACTTTAACTTCTGAGGTAAGTGGTTCAACAGAGAGGTAAAAATAGGGTCTGATTTACCAATCCTATAAGTTTTCTCCTCTGTATCGGTTCTGCATTTTGTAATTGCCACCATTTTTTGAAAAAAAGGGGCATTTTCATTATGATTACTGAGAAAACGGTAACAAAAACTGCTTTTATTTAGTATTTTTAGACCTTTTCAGATCTCTGCTAACACTCATGTCTAATTGGATAGCAAACTCCAAGACGGGTCTCTGGCACAGATTTAAGTCTCTACAGTCTCAATGATCCAGATGTGATCCATCACATCAAATCGAGGATTAGGTCAAATTTGGTCAGAATGACCTCAGCACATTTTCAGATTCCCGGATTCTTAATCTACATCTTGACACCCAGATTATCCTAAAATAAGCAGTTCAAGATATATGGTTTGATTTGTCTTGTTAATCATATTATGACATTAATAACTGGTCTGAATTTTATTTTTAGGTTATTATAAGCAAGGGTTTTTGATGTAATTATAAATAAGAAACCTCAATAAGTATTTGGGTATTGAGATTTCCCAGCTGGAAAGAAAGAAAGTTTTGCCAGCTCACARGGAAAATATCAAAAATTTAAGGTGCTTTTGCTCAAAATCATGTTTTTCTTTTTTTGGCTTGTTTGTGTTTTTTGTAGCTACTGCTCAAAAAGTGATTAAAAATAATTAAGATATATATGTCTGTGTGTATATGCTGACAATATTTATGAATGTAGGCATGTATGTATGTATATCTTTATATATGTATGGGTATGTGCATATATTTATATATGCCCCTCCATGTATTTATCCATTTATTTTTCAGGTGAGCGGACAGATGTTGGGTGTGTGGTCCTGTGTTTTGTTGGTGTATATTTAATATACTTCTARTCRCTATTTCAATCTTTCTATCTTTCTAATTACTTCTCTGTTTTTCTCTCTGTCTCTATTTTCACTTCACTTAAAAAAAGTCACTGATGATGCAGAAATAAACTAAAACTAATATTTAGTTTCGTTTTCTAATGAAGTGACACAAAAAAAGAAAAAAAAATTAAGATCATATTTCAGGCAGTTCATTCAAATGATACATTTATACRTTATTTATTCATTTTGTTTTGCAATTGTTGCAAATGTTTTGACACCACTTTGTGACTTACCAGTAATCTTCAGTTTGATGTGATGGGTCACTTTTATGAAGAGGAAAACCTTTTTACAGATTTACAGCAGAAACTTCACCTTTATTTTAGTTTGGAACATGTGAGAGAAAACGATTAATTAATCAGCTTCTCTTAGTTAATTGGAGTGTAAAAATGACTGTACRTCATTGAGTCCTGATGAATCTCAGTGATCCAGGGAGAATTGTTTTTTTTAGTCCATAGGACCTACTTATTTTCATTGAATTGTACAAATATTGAGCTAAAATGTGATGTGGAAGTAGCTGAGAGTCATTCACTGCTCATTGAGTGCCACACAACATGTTATATTCAATGTTCGACCAAAACAGCTACAACTTCATCCTTTCTCACCGATTTTACTTTAAAATTTAAAAAAAGCAGTGGGTGATAAGCATTCCTTCAAGGACACTTTTTTATTTTTTAGCTGTTTTTTTTTTGGAAGGACAGCTAAGTTTTTAATTCGTTGTAGTATGTTTTTCCTGCTTGCCGTAGCGTCTCAGCCGTGCCTTTATTTAGCGCTGCTGTCAGACTGTGAGCACTGATGGTCCGTGTGAAGTGCAGAACAGAGAGAAGGACGGGGATCCTGTCGGGATGCTTGGCAGAAACGCTTTCCGCCACGTAAAACGTGTGTTTGTGCGGATGAAGTTTGTGGGGGGACGGTGGGGTGGGG